TCAGCAGGCTGTACCCTAAAGGCATCATTCTTCCAGTTGACAGGCATTCTTCGCTCAAATATGGAAAAATTGCTGTTTCACCTTCTTTGCATCCAGTTGACTAAGCTGGTCTGATCATTCTGTTTCTCTGTAATTCGCTGTTCTGGTGTATGCAAATTTCAGTAGCTAAACTATCACATATTTTTTTACTGAGTGTCATGTTGACCTTCTTTATTGCTGTAGTATAGCAGCCAAATTATCTAGTGATACCATGTCAGATGCTGTGTGGAAATCTTACACCAACCTTATCTTTTAACAAATGAGTCAATGATCTTACTGAGATCCAATCAGTTTGATTATGCTTTTTTTTCGCTAATCTCATGCTGCTTAGACTTTGTTATGTTTGCCTCTTTGAGTTCCTTTATCCAGGCTGTGATCAAATAGATGCACTTCCATATTCATTGCGTGGTTCCTTTTCCAGCTGGATGCTATAGTTAAACTTTTTCAAGTAAGTTAGATTGGATCGTTTAATTTGAGGAATGCTTGTTCTGATTCCTTGTTTTAGGTGAATCCTTTGCTTGAAGCTTTTGGCAATGCCCAGACTGTGATGAATGACAACAGCAGCCGCTTTGGAAAATACATAATGCTGCGTTTCCAGAACAGTACAGGTAGAGTCAAGGGCAATTGCTAGTTTTGGAGATGGTTAGGAACTGGTGGAAGTGGGCTGAGTAGCCAAAACCTGTGGAGGATAAAATTTTGGCACCTGACTCTCTGTAGGAGGGGTGTGCAGTCAAGTAAAATCTTACAGCGACCACTGTTGGATAGAGCCTGGATAGGACAAAACCTGGGTTTGGACAGAGTGGGAGTACAGTATGGACATGGGGGAGATAGTGCAGGGTAAGTATCAGTAATACTCTATGGTGCCAGAAGCCTTTGTTGCTGCTAAAGGAAGCAAGCAGACATCTCAAAGATCATAGGAAGCACGGAAAAGTCCATTTTCAGTGTGCTGGGCAGCCTAGAGAGTCTTGTCTTGCATGCAAGAAATTTAATTTAGACAATTCTGTGCTTCTGTTATCGAAGAGGAGATGCAGGACAGCTCAGGCAGCTTTATGTTGCCAGGTGCTAAGCTCACTACCCTGTCACCTTTTCATGTGCAGTGCAAGGTGCAAAGCTGAGTGAGTACCTGCTAGAGAAGTCACGAGTAGTGCAACAAGACACTGGGGAGAGGAATTTTCACATCTTCTACTACATGTTTGCTGGACTGTCTTCAGAGGAGAAGGAAGTGTATGGGCTATTGAATCCTACCCTCTACAGGTACTTCAAAGGCAGACCCTAGTTTAGTCTTCATGGTGGGTGGTGAGGGGGAAAACATCATAATGGAGTTTAGACCTCTGCCCTGGGGCTTTATGTGGATGAAAGGAAGCTGGAGTGGGATCTGAATGCAGGCTACACAAAGAGATCTTATGGGTCATCATGGAAGCTGAGAGATCTGGGTTCTCTTCTTTGCTGCATTACCTTTCTTTCCCCTCCGTGTCTCCACCGCTGCTGACCTGCTTTGTTCCCTTGAGGTAGGCCTGACTTACTGTGCTGATTGTGTGACAGTTTTGTGTGGGATATGCGCTTTCTCAGGTACATAAGTGGACAGTATGGTACGCAGGATGTAGCTCAACGCTGGAAGCACAAATACCAGGAGGTGTGCAATGCCCTTGACATTGTGGGCTTCCAGGAGCAGGTCAGTTCTGGGACTGTTTAATTTCTATTTGTGCTTCCTGCAGGCATAGGGTTTCTTTCTGGCTGCTCTTTTGAGGCTCAATTCTATTTGTTTCCTCCACATTTTTCATGTTACTTCCAGAACACCTAAGTCTGCAAGACTTTATGTACAGCCTTTTCCCACAGCTTGCCTGTGCCTTTTCTTTAACCTCTCCAACTTCTGGGCCCTCCACGTTGCACATATTACATGCTGATAGGTTTTCAGTCACCTTTCTTTTCTGTTTTAGGAGAAAGTGGACATGCTGGCTATCTTGGCTGGTGTGTTGTCTCTGGGCAATGTGACCTTCGAGCCTGAGGAGAGCAATGGGTCTGTAAAAGTCAGTGAAACCTCCCAGGGGTGGCTGAAGGCTGCAGCGGTGAGTCACAAGAAGAGTTGACAGAAGCCTTATGTATATGATGCTGTTTCCCACTGGCAGTGTGACTGCAGTAGCTGCTCCTGGCAGAGATGGCAGAGGATGTTTCTGCCTCAGAGTTTAAAGGCTTCTGAAGAACAAGGAGTTTTATTCCGGAAATGCACAGTATGATGCCATGGCTGCTTTTGTGTTCACTGCTATTCATTCCCAAAGAGACACTTCTCAACTTCCATTTCTTCTGTGTCTAGAACTGCCTTATGTAGTCAACATGTGCCTTGTTGACTTCATAGCATTACAAACCCTTCAAAACTAATTGTTATGTGTTATCAAGTGTGATGATGCCTTGGAGAAATTTAGGTGTGCAATATCTGTACACTAGTTCTGTGTTTTCATCCGATCTTGTCCTAGGATACCACCTCAACTACTCTCATTGTTTTATTGGTTATCCAGAATTAAACTTTCTACTATTTCATAAGAAATTATCACAGATGATCACAGGACCATCCTATTTTTATTATATAGGATGAATACATTATCCTGCTTTGTTAACAACACAGAACAGAAAAAAAGGCAAAGTATTTCTCCCCTTTCTAATGCCTCTTTTTTTTTGACGTGTCTGAAATCCCAGCACCTTGGTCTTTGGTTTCACTCCCACCTCTTTGCCTATTTCCCTCCTACACCATACCTGAAACAACCACCTACGTCTGTTCAGCAGCCAGCTTCTTTTTATCTTGCTTCTGAAAATCTGCTCTCGATTTTTGCCCACAGGAGGGAAATTCCTGTTGAATCACGGAGGGGTTCAGTGTGTCTGAGTTCCCTTCGTTTCCTGCCCCTCAGGGGCTGGTATGACTGGTGTCTGCTGAGCTCATATGCTTCAGCACTTGCACAGTCACCTCTGCGTGGTGCTGTTCAGTAAGCTATTAAACTACTCGGTAGGGACTGGCACGGTTCCCAAAGAAGGTGAAAGGTGACGGCACTGGGAGAGCAAAACAGAAAGTGTTTCAGAGAGAGAGCGTGATTGAGCTTGATCAGTGACTGATCTGACTCCAGTGCTGTGAGATGGTAACTGTAATGCTTTCCTTACAGGCACCTCAAAGGCCTGATTCTGAATCATGACCCCATTACACAGACACAAATACAATCCCCATGAGTAGAATAAGGGTTCACAATTGCCTGTCCTCATCTATTTCCTCTTTCCCAGGGTCAGTTTGGAGTCCAGGAAGACGAGCTGTTAAAATGTCTTATTTGTACAATGGCAGTGACACGAGGTGAGCAGATTCAGCGTTTTCACACCCAACAGCAGGCAGAAGGTAAGAAACATAATGAATTGCAGATGTGGTGGCTGGAAAGACATATTTGATGGAAGAGTATCCCCACACATGTGCAACTTGTTGGGAACAAAGATGGCCTTCTGTGCCCCTTCATTCCTCTTGCACAGAAACAAGAATACCAATGTTTATCTGTTTAGCCTCTTCCTGACATGTAGGACCATGAATGCTGCTTTTGTTGCAGGAGACTGCAGAGGTTAAATGAGAAACCAATGAATTAGCTTTGCTTTCTCCCTCAGTCCAGCCTAGAAGGAAAGTGTAGGTATTTGTACAAAAGAGGGGAAGGCTGCTGTTGCAGAGTGCTGGCAGTGTGCAGAGCTCTAGGCAGTACATGGAGAAACAACTGCGAGAATCTATGAGATGACATTATCAGGAATGAAATGAGATGAAAAGAGAGTATGTTAAAGTAGCAGGCACAATGTTTTATTTTCCCTCTTGGTAAAACAAGAAAATAATCCAAGATAATCTGCACCAAAAGGTTCAGTTAAAATAAAATATTTTAAAAATTAATTAAAAAGGCATGAAATCACAGGATTTCTAGATTATTGTTTAAAATTAAAGAAAAACATTAAAATGGGGAATTAGCTAGTTTTATTTTCCAAATTTCCTCTATACAGTAATATATACATCTTCCATCATGCTGTAGGTTATGTTGATTTGGTGTTCTTCTTAGCATGTCATCAGTTGCATCCTCTTCTTGCCCACAGCATTTAAACACTTGGAAACTGTGGGCTTGGAGGAAGAGAACCATCCAAATTTCCAGGTGCAATCTGGAGTCTCTCCCATGGTTTAGCAGTGAGGAGATCCATACTCAGTAGTGTGGAAGAATCTCTGATTGCTAACAGACGTGAGCAATCCAGCCTTGCTAGCAGGGCCTGAGCAAGCTGCAAGCTAAGCTGTTCAAGGTCACTGCTGCAACTGGAATGTGAGAAAGAAGGTAGCAAGATAAGCAGCTCCTGGGTCTGGAATGCAGAAGCTGAAGATGGTTAGAGGTGGAAAACAATGATTGGGGCATTTTATGATTGATATGTTAATAATCAATTATGTTGTGTATAAGGTGGGCTAGTAATAGTTGTTAACCAATGGTGAGTGGGCACTTAAAATAGATGGGTATATAAGAATCACTTAGATAGACAATAAAAGACTTTTGCATGTGATTAATGGCAGCTGCCTCTTTGTACGCGAACTCCCGCACAGTAGGTCTTCAGAGGGGAAATTCTAGATATTATAAAAAGTGGTCTGACGCTTTTAGAAGGGAAATTTTCCATTTTGAATGGTCACACAACTTCCCTAGTATGCCACGTCTGATCCTGTAGAAAGGCTGTGAAGCTTTTTGAATTAAAGAGCTCTTTTTGTGCTTATGGGTGGCAGGGACAATCAGATTGATATCTAATGTTTACCTGATCTTTCAAACAGCTTCATAAACTACTACACATTGTTGCTACAGGTGGATGTATTCAGCCAGCTTATGTGTCATGTTCCCTGCTCTCCTGTGAGTCCTTCAGTGAGCTGCTGTTGTTCTCTCTGTGCAGATGCTCGGGACTCCATTGCAAAGGTGGCGTATGGCCGAGTGTTTGGCTGGATCGTTGGCAAGATCAATGAGCTGCTGGCTGAGAATGTGGATCCTGAGGTGGAACTGAGGGAGATAGGTGAGTTCTGCCTGCCTCCCTCCTCTTCTGTTCTCACGTGTGTGTCCCTCAGACACAGCAAAGGACAGGCACAGCATGAGATTTTCGCAGACTGCAGGGATCCATTATCAAAGTCATAATCCTGTTAGAGATATGAAGTCTGTAGGGCCTTGGGCAACTCTGAGCAGTCAGTTGACCTGAAGCAACTGTGAGTCTGTACCTTTGGGGACTCTTGCTTAGCAGAGGAGCCAGGGGTGGGAGTGTGTCTTCTCCTAACTAACTCTCCTTGGGAAATTACGGAAGAGGTGCCACTGCTGTCTCAGCTGGGATTTACTTGTGCCATGAGAGGCGGGTGATGGGAGATTTTGTTGTGTGTTGGTGTACACAGTAATCTGCAAGGATGGTCTGCAGGCTCCATGATGTGCTCTTTCCTCTTTTAGGCATCTTGGATATTTTTGGGTTTGAAAACTTTCCAGTGAATCGTTTTGAACAACTTTGCATAAACTTGGCCAATGAGCAGCTGCAGCACTTCTTCAACCATGTAAGTCTGCTGAGGATAATCTCATCTTCAGTGGCAGAGAAAGCAGAGCACTGCTCTACTTGGCACATGACAAAGACCTTGAGGAAAAACAGATCTGTTGCCTGGAAGGACAGAAATAGTGATTAGTGAAGCAGGAAGAGAGCATCAACATTCTCTGCTGAGGCAGGGAAGCCACTGGGACAGGGAATGAACAAGTAAAAGGATCAAGCAGCGACCGAAGTTATCAGAGCAGGGACACTTAAACTTTGAGAAGTGTTCCTGCTTTATGCACCAGCACCAGTGAGTGATAGGCTTACAGAGGAGCACATAGAACCGTAGTTTCATCTTGGACCTCTCTTACCATGGGTGAGATCACCACACCTCTGTCCTCTGTTCAGGGTGGGAAGGAAGATGTTCAGGGTTGTCTAGCCAAGGCTGATGAGTACTCCAACCTCTTATTTTCTTTATTTCAGCACATTTTCCAGTTGGAGCAGGCTGCCTATAAGGAAGAAGGGCTGCCTTGGGAGAATATCACATTCAACAATAATGAACCTATTCTGGTGAGTGAGAAGACTTACAGAATATAGTTTTTCCATCCAGCCAAGAGAGGAGTCTTGCTCTTTCTGTCATAGGAAGGAGATACAGCTGAGAAGAACCTCTTCAAAGGGTGTTGAGGGTGAGAGTGGATGTTGTGTGCTGCTTTAGATATGTCTTGTGTGTCTCCTTTCTTGCAGAATCTGCTCCTGGCCAAGCCACTTGGGCTACTATCTCTTCTGGATGAGCAGAGTGCATTCCCTCAGGTATGCAGGAGAAAGGAGTCAGAAAAAATACTGGGGGGAATGTAGCAATGAATATCTAGGCTGCAGGGAGGGCTCTTAGGTTGGAGTGCACTTTAGAAAGCAGGATGAAGAGGTGCCTCTGTGTGTGACTGATGAGAT